AAGGGAGGGAGGGAGGGGGAGGGAAGGAGGGAGGGAGTGTTATGCGGCACTATCGACACACTTTTGAAACAACAGTTGGAAGGCGCACTGAATGAAAAGTCAGAGCATATTTCAGTCTCATAGTGCGTCGACGAGGAGCTTAACAATTGTTATAGGCCTGAAATTTAGTAAAAATGTGATCCACTAATAAGCAATACAGCCTTCAGGTATATGTAGTATGCAGTTCAGCATGTGTTTCACTTAACCTCTTTAAACGGGGTGAGAAGATTGTGTGAGACTTACTGCAAGGTCATGTAGGTGTCGCCCATGCCCTGGACGTGGAAGTCGTTACGCTGGTACATGGCTCTCAGCTCACGTGACATGTCCGCCATCTTGTAGGCCATGTTGTTAAACTGTCCCTCTAGGGCGTCGATGAGCGGCGTCAGTTCTTCGTCCAGTGAGCTAGACACTGCTCTGTACTTGCCAGAGATCTGAAAACGGAAAAGGTGGATGGTCAGACAATTTCAGCTGTCAGTTTATGTCTTATATTTTGTGTTATCGATACTTTGACTTGGTCTTTAGCGGAGGCATGTATTTTCGTAGAAAATATAAACCGTGTGTTTGCTTTACGTCCATGTGATTAGGGTCTTAATCGAGCATCTCGGTCATTCTGCTGGGATATTTAAACGGTCTAAATACTTTCGATGGGGGCTTAAAACACCCACTTAAATATAAACAAAGATGAGCAGGCCTTACCTCGTCAGCCACAGCCTCATTGACCAGCTCCCACATCTCAGCGGACTTGACCCCGGCACGTGCGGCTCTCTCCTCGACTCCGGCAGTAAGCTCCGCCCACAAGGCGGGCCTCCAGTGCAGGTGGGAGTGCAGGAGACGTGTCGTGTTGAGGCGAAGGGCCAGCAGCGCCTCCTGGTGGCTCACCTCGGGTGTCCAGTGACTGGCGTAGGCGCGGAAAGCGCTGCTGTTTGGGTATTGGGCGTGAAGGCTGAACTTTTCTGTGAGAGGGAAACGAGAAGTAGTGAGGCACAGTTCTTTCACACAGCGCGCGCGTACACATACACAAACATGGGTGTAAAATGATAAGACACATCCTTAAACACTCACTGAGTCCAAAATTCATTGCCATGTCTCTCTTTTGGTGCATATAATGGAAGTCAATATCTGAGGGAAACTTTCCAAATTTCATTCGTTGTACTGGAACGTTTTTGCCCCCCCCCCCCCCCCTTTCTCCCCCCCCCCCCCCTTTCCTACCCCATCCAGGTCGGTCCTTCACAAGAAAAGTATTGATTCAAAAGTTCCTACCTGTAAAACAACCTAGATTGTGTTGAGGGTAGAGTAAATGCATACTTACATCTGGGGAACAATTGCTGTGAAGTTATCAGGATACGTTTACTGGATTTCGGAAATGTTCGCCCTTGTTCCCAATACCCTGATAGAACACGATTCCATCACGAACGTTCGTAAACAAAACATTCCGTTGACAATAATTGCCGTACAAAACAAAGAATCGAGTGTGTTGTCCTCAACCTACCAGAGTCCATGACTATGCTGATCTCGGCAGACTTCTTGTCACTGTCTACTGTGAGCTCGGAGCGGAACACCTCGGCGTCGTCAATCCTGTTCAAAAGTCTCAGCTTGGACGGGCTGGTGCTCACAACGTCACCCATGATCTCGATCTTGTTCATGGGGTTGGACATCTGTGGGTGAAACAGGTTATGTAAAAACTCAATATAGCAAAACTTGTAATTGAATATAGCAAAACTCCTTTCCGTGGGGAATAAAAGAATCTAGTATTGTGTTTGTAACGTTAATATAATGCACGAGTTTCATTCACATAGGTGTGAACCTATATAAATATTCCAGAAGTATAATAATGGTATTAAAATGGGCAACTTGACCAACGTTGATAAATGCATTTTATTTATCTTGACGTTATTTTTTCCTAATTAGCCAGATGCGAATTATGTATCCAAGTGTACAACTTTCATTTTGAAATGGTCAATTAACTCTATAATTTTGATTGTTAGTTCCCATAAACATGTCTCTGCCGAGTACAGCTGAACTAGATGCAATATGTGCGAAAATGACAAAGACAATTAAACCACGTCAACTGTTCGGAACAAATTTCAATTAACGAAAGGGAAAAGTTATCGTGCAATTTTCAAAATCTTGTTCAAATACGTTTGTGAATCTGACCTGCACACTGATCTGTCTCTTGAGTTTGTTGATCTCAGCCAGTAGCGCCAGGTTCTTGGTCTGTCTGCGGGCGGTCAGGTAGCTCGTCTCCACGCCAACGGTCATGCGCTCGTCAGAACTTCCCAGGTGAGAGGTCATCTTGAGGTCAATGTTGGTATACGGGTGGCTCAGGCCCAGCTCGACGCTGTAGTTGTAGTTGCTGTAGTAGTCAGAGATATCCTGTACCTTGGAGGTCAGGGTCAAGGTCTTGCTGGCGTCGCTGGAGTAAGAGATGTCGGTCTTGGAGTCCAGGATGATGCGGCCGTTGTTGAGCATGAGCTCACCGTCCACGCGGATCTCCTGTGGGAGGGATTTAGGACTAGGTTTAAAAATACAGATATAAGGCTCCAAGACACTAATATGACATTAATAATGATATGCTTTAGAGCTTTATGAAGACGTCCTGACTTCAGCGAAAAGATGCAAACTAACAAGGAGGGAGACGAAGAAGAAAAGAGAGGAAGTGAGGGATAGACAACATCAAAGAGTGACCTAGCCATGACTGGAACATCTTACTATGTAAGGCTGAGAACGGAGAAATGTGCACGGAAATGGTTGCGAAATCTTCAATGGTGCCCAAACGGTCAACCATACCATGAGGTAGTCAAAGGTGAAAAACTATCAAAAGGAATAAGTACTGCTCATTATTTTTGTTTATATATTTGAGGTGGGGCTAGTGTGGCGGAGCAGTTAGTGCGCTCGTCTCCGAAGCGGAAAGTCCGGGTTCGAGTCTCAGTTCGGACAGGTGTTTTTTTTAATCCACCCCTCCCCCTCCAGTCCACCCAGCAGTAATGGGTACCTGACTTCGAGTTGGGGAAGTAAAGTCGGCGTGGAAAGGAACCTGCCACCCTAACGCCGAAGGCCCAGGAAGTTGTCTCACTATCAAGGCAATCCCCAATGTCCGGAGTGGATGCGGGAACAGCTTTACTTTTTACGTATTTGGGAACAACGGAGGACAACACCTCTTCCTTATGGTAAGAAACCTATCAAAGTCAGTGTTAAGTATGTTCCAAATCACAACTGTATGAGAGATCAAAGCTCACCTTTCTGATGGAGGGCATGTTGAGAGTGATGTCACCACGCAGAGATTTCCCTCTCCTCATGGTGGCTTTGACACCGACCTGTTTGCTGCTGTCTCGCTCTGCGTCCCAGCTGAAGGTGGCGTCGGCTGTTTTGGCAGCTGGGCTGTCGCTGAAAGTGAGAAAGATAAATATAACGTTATATTGATCAGTATAAGGGATACTGTAATTTCTGTTGCTATAGTAGATTCTTCGAATGCAAAGTTTTTCTTTCTCGGTGTGAGGGTTTTCCCAGTTTCTGTTTATGGGTGTTTAACTACTTTCTCAGCATCTGGCCCGAAAGGTCGATACTGTGTCACCCCCCCCCCCCAACCTCCTTTTTTCCAGCACACCTGCTTACACAAAGTTTGTTCCCAGGCTATAGACGTAAGCAAGTGACTTGAGAGAGAAAAAAAGGAGAGAGGGGGCAGATGAGAGAATATGAGTGTGTGTGTGTGTGTGTGTGTGTGTGTGTTGAATGTATGTGTGTGGGGGGGGGGGGTGCGTGTGTGGGTGCGTTTGTGTGATAGATGGAGATAGGAAGCGACACACACACACACACACACACACACACACACACACACACACACACACACACACACACACACACACACACACACATACAGAGAGAGATTGGGAGAGAAAAATAGAGAAAGAAAGAGAGAGAGAAAGAAACAGACAGACAGACAGACACACAGACAGACAGACAGACAGACAGACAGACAGACAGACAGACAGACAGACAGACAGACAGACAGACAGACAGACAGACAGACAGAGACCTACCTCATAGATCCAGAGAGTTCGAGAGTCTTGAAAGGAAGGCCCAGCTTGAGGCTGCCCTCAGTCACGTCTTTGTTGCGCCGGCTGTTGTCGGTGACGGTCAGGTCGTAGGAGACCTTGTCCTCATCGCCAGAGTCCCAGAACATCTTGCCGGTACTGGTCAGCTGGGAGCCGGACACCTTCTGGGTGTGAGACACGCCCATTTTGCGAGATGACCTCTCAACACTCATATCCACAGCCCTGTCGGTGACGTAATCGTCAGACTTGTCGTTGACCACAGCCACCAGGTGCACGTTGCTGGTCAAGTCATCTCTGTGGGGAAGTGAATGAACAGACACATCAAACAGGTGAGTGAATAGAATTTTTAAAAATTAACGGGTAAAAAAAAAACCTTTTTAAAAAGTAAGTTTTTTTTTACTACGCCCTCAACAGCATAATGTAGACCATTTAGGAGGTAGGCTTTGACCCTGCCTGTCAGAGTGAACCTGGGCTGAAGGGGTAAAACGTCCCAGCAGAAAGAAGAGATACTCAATTGAAATTGTCTCCTTTAGGGGATTTAAACGCACATCTTCTGCTAGCGGCGCCTAATTGCCAAGTGTTTTGTAAAATGATGCCTATTCCTGAGTACTTCTGACTTCTGTATATACGCTTTCCTGACTTAAAGTTCAGGATTACCCAACTGTTTTACTAAAACAATATAGAAATAGACCAGATGTTAAACCACGCTTCTGAAAAGGCAAACAAACAAGAATTACCTGTTCCAATTGGCCATCACATCAGCTTCCATGTGACCTTCGGTGTTGAAGCCGCTTGCTGAGTACTGCATGGGCCATGGCCGGTTGAAGGTCAAGGAAGCCTCGTGTTTGTCCTTGGAGCTGTACTCCCCACTCACGTCCAGGAGCTGGGCACCGTTCATGTCGATTGCCAATTTTCCTTCACGGCCTTGACTCTTTCTCGTCTGCTCGGTCTGTACAGCCAGGCTGCGCAGGGCGGCGAACGGAGTGGACAGGCTGACGTCAGCATGAGTCTTGTCCTCGTACCAGGTCTCCTGTGAGCGGTACATGACGTCTGTCTGGACCTGGGGAAGGAAACGGTAGAATAGCTTGTCATCAGAACATTTCCCAGTGTTCTGGCGTCAACTGGGGAAGGGAGCGGTAGAGCCTGTTGGGAGTTTTGAACTTAGTTTGTCATTCGAAAGTCTCTGGGTGCTCTAGGTTCTTCTGGGGCTACAATAGTTGCAAGCGGATGGAGCATATTGTAGAGCATTTGCGTGGAGAGTTGTAGAGCTTGTGTGAGGGCCATAAGAAATGGAGTTATAATAATAATAATAATAATAATAATAATAATAATAATAATAATGATGATAAAAATAATATTATTATTATCATTATTATTATTATTACTACTATTATTATTTTTTTTATTTTTTTTAAATTATTATTATTATTATTATTATTATTATTATTATTATTATTATTATTATTATTATTATTATTATTATTATCATTATTATTAATGTTTGCTGCTGCTGAATTCTATATAAGTTCTATTGCAAAAGTAGTCAGAACACGACAATGTCCTCAACGCTAATAAAACACCTCCAAGTAGGCGGGAGGAAGTAGAATAATTTTTCATCTGTTTGGTTACTCAATCCCCTAGCTGAAATTCGTTTGTTACTGTTATATAAAACCGTTATTCCATATCAACAAAATGTGATCTATTTTGTCTCAAAAAGGATAAGAGTAAGTCACCAAAAAAAAACAGAGTTGAGAAGCTTGAATACGAAGAAACAATTTACCTGTTGACCGTCGGTCCATCCAGCAACAGCGCTCATCTTCTTCTCCCCGGCGATGTCAGAATTCTTTAGCTCAAACTTGAGGTCGTCCATGCCGGCCAGCGAGCTCTTCACGGATGTGCTCAGGCTCATGTCGTATGGACTCTTGTAGTCCAGGGACGCCTGGGCGTTGACGTTGTCCGTGAGTGGAGAGGCCAGGAATCCGGTACACTTGAAGTTGTCGAACTGACCCTCGTGCGTCAAGACAAGTTCCACGTTGCGGAAGTCGGTGTGTGGGGTGGAGATCTTGGCAAAGACTCTAATGGGTTCCACGGAGTAATCAAGACCGGAGTTCATGGTGTACAGGCTGCGACCTTCGACCTTGAGAGAGCTGGAAGCCTCGTACTTGTTGTAAGAGCTGTCGTAGGTCAGTGCCCCCTGCACGCTGCTGTACCCATAGACGGGAGTTTTCACTGTGACGCTGGCGTCCAGAGATGGGTAGATGCTGGACTGAAGCTCAGCACTGATCGTCTTGCGTCCGTTCTCATAGGCCAAAGAGGTGGAGCCTTGAATGCTGGAGGAGTCGACATTGTGGTTATACTCGACTTTGGTCCTCTCGAGACCTGTAATAGGCGTCTGTACCTCCAGGGAAGCGTCAAGCCTTTGGGCAGAGAACAGGTTCAGTTTTCCGTTGGCAGAGTAGGCTTTGTTGTAGCCGTATACGAGGCCGCTGGTCACCATGTAGCTTGGGGCATTGAGGTCGGCGGTAGCCACGGCGCGAACGTTCCTGAGATCATCAAAAGGAGTGTTGATCGTCACGAGCAAGTCGTAGTTTGGAGAGTAGGTCAGTTTGACACTGCCGTCAAGCTTCTGGTCACTTCCGTATTGCAAAGATGACGACGCGCTCATACTGGTGGATCTGTCCTCAAAGTTCACCTCACCTTTGGTGTTTTCCAGGCCAGAGAAAGGAGCACTCAGTTCCGCCGAAGCAGTCACACGACGCCACATGTACCGGTAGAAATTAACCTTTCCACTGATGTCTTTGTTGTCAGCGTAAGTGATCTTTCCCTGGGTTGTAAACTTCTGGTCGTTTCCAGAGTGGTGGAAATCCACCCCGAGGTTCCTGTAGCCAGAGACTGGTGTGTTCAGGGTTGCGTAAGCCGAGATGTCGTCAGAAGAGTCACAACCACCGTTCAAAGTGACGCTACGACCGTTACCCATGTTGGCATTGCTCTCCAGTTTGTACTGAGGTCCTTTTGTGTCCAACGAGTAGGACACAGATATGTCCTCATAGTTTCTGATCGGCGTCTTGAGAGTGACCATCATTTCTGGGTTTGGAGGATAGACAATCTTGACAGTACTTTGGAGTACCTGGTTGTCTCCATACAAGAGAGAGCCCTCAGAGAAAGCCTTTCGCTGGTTGTTGTTCTCTTTGTACTCGAATCTGGTCAGCTCGTAACCAGTGACGGGCGTCTTGAGTTCGGCAACAATACGAGCACCATTCCGTTTGTATCTCAGTTTACCAGAGACATCTTTGTTGTCCATGTAAGTGACTCTGCCTTCTGAGTTGAAGTTATTTAGGTCACCGGAATGCTGGAAGCTGAGCCCAACATCAGAGAAATCATCCAGAGGTGTGGTGACAGACAGGGAGCCTGAAATGTCTGAGCTCACGTCCAGAGCTCCGTTGAGAGCCACGACGTTGCCGTTTCCAGCATTGACTTTGCCGGAGATGGAAGCGACCGGCCAGTTGTTGACGAGAGAAGCAGAAGCCGACAGATCTTCGTACATGTCAAACGGCGTCTTCAACGTTACACTCAAGTTGGGGTCGGGAGATATGGTTGCCTGAAGGTCGTATGTGATTTTCTGTGAGTTTCCGTACTCGAGTGACTTGTAGCATTTGAAGCTGTCTGGACCACCTTCGTGTCTGTACTCGTACTTGGTGAACTCGTGGCCTCGAATTGGTGTCGTCACTTCCAGAGTCGTTTCAAAACGTTGGAGCATGGACCGATAAAAGTCCAGTTTGGCAGAGTAACGATTGTCGTCAGTCAGCGTGACATCCCCGTTCGTGTTGAACCTGACAAGGTTACCTGAGTGCCTGAAGGACACTCCAACATTTCTGTATCCCCTGATGGGTGTTTGCAGCTTTACGGATCCTGTAATTTCGTCCTTGACCTTCATGGCTCCAGTGACAGTGAACTTGTCGTTGTTGAGATCAGTGGTAACAGTCATGCTGAAGTCATCAATCTTGCCCTCCTTGTGGACGGTGAGCGACCCCTGGCTACTGCCGTAGTCCATGGACCGGAGGTTGAGCTGACCTTGTCCATCGAGCACGTCTCCGCTGTTGCTGACTGTGGCCACAAGTGACAGGACGTTGTCGCTTCCCAGAACGGCCTGAGCCTTGGTGTTGCTGTTGAGGAAAACTCCGCTATGGTCAACGGTCAACTCAACGTCTGGTGTCACGAAGCTCTTCACACTCACAGCGGTGTTCAGGGAACGGGACTGGAGGGAGTTGGTGATTTTGGTGTCGATGATGTCTTGA